AGTAGGGTCAGCCAATGAGGTATGATTTATTTTAATGCGGTATATGTCGAACGGTGCGTATGGCTAATGTAATTAGAAAAAAATAATACGTTCAGGTTTTTAGCCCTATAATTGGAATAATAAAAAACGCATTAGTGAGCTGCTTAGAATTTTAAATTTTCCTTTCCTTTCTTATAAAATGTGGGTTATCGAACTAATGTTTATCAAACAACGACAAAGGCATGGATTTGTTTAACGAATATTTTTCTATCTTCAAGTCCCTTGGTTAATTTGAAAGAATATTTTTAGGAGGCCAACTATAGAGGAATTAGCCTTCTTCCCATCGCGTATAAAGTGCTATCCAGTGTGCTGTGCGAACGATTGAAGCCAATGGTCAAAGACATTATTGGACCATACCAATGCGGCTTCAGACCTGGCAAATCCACCAATGACCAGATTTTCATGGCATGGATTTGTTTAAAGAATATTTTTCTATCTTCAAGTCCCTTGGTTAATTTAAAAGAATATTTTTAGGAGGCCAACTATAGAGGAATTAGCCTTCTTCCCATCGCGTATAAAGTGCTATCCAGTGCGCTGTGCGAACGATTGAAGCCAATGGTCAAAGACATTATTGGACCATACCAATGCGGCTTCAGACCTGGCAAATCCACCATTGACCAGATTTTCACTCTGCCCCAAATCCTGCAAAAGACCCACGAAAAACACATCGACACATACCACCTATTCGTCGACAGGATGAGACAGCTCTTGGTGTGTTTGAAAGAAAAATTCTCCGAAAAATCTACGGGTTGATCTGCGTCGACGGTGAATATCGGCGTCGAATGAACCACGGGGTTTACAATTTATACGCGGACATCGACATAGTCGTATTGAGATGTCTAGGCCACGTTCTGCGAATGAATAAGAATACCCCAGCTCAAAAGGCATATAAAAGCGAGCCTACTGATGGTTCCCCTAGAAGGGGAAGGCTACGAATCAGATGGAAAAGCCAAGTAGAAAACAACATCTTGGAACGTGGTCTTTCAAATGGGAAGAGATGCGCACAAGACCGACGCGCTTGGAAATAATTTTTAAGCTCGGCTTATGGAACAACCGTTCTGTAACAAGCCACCAAAATAAGTAATCACCGGGCGTGGGTTTATTTAAAAAAATTTAATGCCTATCATCGAGGCGTGGGTTAATTTATAGGATATTTTTAAGTCTTCATTGAGAGTTGGGCTTATTTAAAAAATTTTGGGCTCATATCAAGGCATGGGTTTATTTAAAGAACATTTTAATGCTTATCATGAAGAATATTTTTCAAGACCTTTTAGTATGTTATAGAATTTTTAAAATAATACTTTCAAGGCCTATCGCCAATGGGTGAGTTTTTTTTTCAGAGAAATTAAACTTCTATTTAAAAAATATATTTTTTTAATTATTTTGCCAAAGACCACCAGTCGTTGAAGTTTTTAAAGGAATAATCTGTAATGTTTGGGGGGCAGGCATTTTCACATTCAGATACACCCTAACGTATAATTTATATTAATTGTTATACATTGGTGGCGTATACATAACACAAATACATCATACGCCTCCAGTAAGTAGTGCACAGAGAATTACTTGCCTTTATCCCAACATGATAATTAATCAAATATTCTGAATATTCTAAATACCAATACACACACATAGATATATCTTTTAGCAGCTAAATAAATCATTCTCTAACACTCACAACTAATAGAAAAAACCCAACTCCGCCAGACAGACAATTATCTATCAAAGTGAAAACTTTGATGTTTTTATTATTCGAACTCCATCTCCCATAGCTAATATTAGCTTGGCTGTATAATAGCATCTCGAGAATAATAACCACTTTGTTAAAAAATAAAATATATAGCAAATAATAGCTGCAACAACAAAAAAGTGGTTAAAAAAGCATAGAGCACTTATAAATAACAGACTAATGAAAAATACATTGTATGGGTGGTCTTTCTCTTCTTGTTGGCGTTGTTGCATTTTCATTTTGAAAAAAGAGATATTAGAGAAGGCAAAGACTAACGAACTGCAAATAACTAAAGCCAAGAGTGAGTGGTAGTATAAAGTAGTACTTAAGTAACCACTAGTCATCATTCACGTCAAAAAAATGTGCAACAACACAATGTAGAGTAGAGTTCGGAGAAGAAATTTCCACACAAACAAAAATTATTATATGTGGATAAAAATGAAACCAAGAACAAAAATAAAAACAAATGCAACATGTGAGGATAATGGCTCGTCATTTTGAGGAGACCAACAAAAATAGGGTTTTTGAAAAGGGCGTGGATTTTTTTTTAAGAATATTTTTCATGGTCTATCATCAAGGCGTGGATTTTCTAAAACAATATTTTGAGAAGTCTATCATCATGGCGTGGATTTTTTAAATAATATTTTTCATTGCCTATCATCAAGGCGTGGATTGTTTAAATAATATTTTTCATTGCCTATCATCAAGGCGTGGATTTTTTTAAAACAATATTTTGAGAAGCCTATCATCAAGGCGTGGACTTTTTTAAATAAAATTTTTCAAAGTCTATCATCAAGCCGTGAATTTTTTTAAAGAAAATTTTGAGAAGCCTACCATCAAGGCGTGGATTTTTTAAAAGAATATTTTGAGAAGGCGCACAACAAGGCGTAGATTTTTTAAAGAATATTTTGAGAAGGCGCACAACAAGGCGTAGATTTTTTAAAGAATATTTTGAGAAGGCGCACAACATGGCGTGAATTTTTTAAAGAATATTTTGAGAAGGCGCACAACATGGCGTGCATTTTTTAAAGAATATTTTGAGAAGGCGCACAACAAGGCGTGCATTTTTTAAAGAATATTTTGAGAAGCCTATCATCAAGGCGTGTATTTTTTAAAAGAATATTTTGAGAAGCCTATCATCAAGGCGTGAATTTTTTAAAAGAATATTTTGAGAAGCCTATCATCAAGGCGTGAATTTTTTAAAAGAATATTTTGAGAAGCCTATCATCAAGGCGTGAATTTTTTAAAAGAATATTTTGAGAAGCCTATCATCAAAGCGCACAACAAGGCGTGGAACCATCTTCATGAGGAGATGAAGATCTTACCCTTCCATCGTCACAATTATATTTTGTCGATGCAGTCTTGGTTGGGTGCTATCGTCGGGAACATCCCTGACATAGTCTTAAGGACAGGACTCCCCCGACCAGGCACGTCAGGAAAGATCTTCATGATCTAGAGACAGAGGTCCAAAGGTAAAAGCATGAACCCCTAGATCAAGAAGCCTACCAAGCAGGTCTGAATGGTATTCACACGAACGTAGTCGCTCAGGCAGTAGAGCAATATCGCGCGAATACCATAATTGGAGACCACCCCCATCCATCGCAGCAGAGAAGAAGCAGCTGCCAAGGCAATCACGGGTAGTCTTAGCTCCGCCTCAATTCATATTGGGCAAGAAATCGATATCTAACACATGTCCTGCATGTGGACTGGAACAACACAACACGTTTCACCTCTTCAACTGCCCAGCTAAGCCGACTCATCTATCGCCGAATTCGCTTTGGACGCAACCGGTCCAAGTTGCAACGTTCTTGAATTTGGAGGTAGAGTAAGCAGAACCAGTCGATGAATGACAAACAACATGTATTATTTTGCTACAACAAGGTGTGGTCTTTTAGGGAATATTTTTCAAAGCCTATCATCAAGGCGCACAACAAGGCGTGGCGAACAATAGAGGGGTCTACGATCCGTAACGACCCGAGTCTTACTCGGCCAACGTCTGTCACCTCAGCCCATTGTGTAAAAGCAATAGGGCTGCTACAACGACAACAACAACAAGGCGTGGATTTTTTAAAGAATATTTGTCAAAGTCTATAATCAATAATTTTTTTAGGAGATTGGCTTTTTTAAAAGTTTATTTTAGGAGCACAACAAGGCGTGGATTTTTTAGGGGCGTGGCATTTTTAAATGAATATTTTAGAGACCTCTCATCAAGGCGTGAATTTTTTTAAATATTTTTAAGGGCACTAAAAAGGAGTGGTTTATTTTAAAGAATATTTTTAGAGGCACCAAACAGGCGTGGTTTATTTTAAAGAATATTTTTAGTTTCTTAACACTAGAACGCCGAAGGCGGTCATTTTGACCGCTTTCCAATTTCATGTACAAAAGCAACTGTGCATTTAATGACACTTTTTTTTAAATTTGGTGAATTTTTTATAATAAACGTAATTCTATGAGGTACAAAAAGTCACCATATTTAAAAAAAAAGTGCCATTAAATGCACAGTTGCTTTTGTACTTGAAATTGGAAAGCGGTCAAAATGACTGCCTTCGGCGTTCTAGTGTTAAAGCGGATTGGATTTTTTAACAGATTTTTTGGTCCCAAAAAGGAAGTGGGTGTTTTAAAAGAATATTTTAAGGTCCTAATTTATTTAAAGACTATTTTTAAGGGACTAAAAGAAGAAGATTTTTAAAAGAAAATTTTAAGGGCGGATTTATTAAAAAATATTTGTGGTGGTCTTAAAAGGAGTGAATTTTTCAAAAGAATATCTTGAGGGGCGGAATTATTTAAAGAATATTTGTAGTGGCCTGACAATGCCCAGATTTCTTAAAGACTATTTTTAGGAGCACCACAAAGGTGTGGATTTTCTTTAAATTTTTTGTAGCAATACTAAATAAGGAAAACTAATAAAAGTACCAAATATAAATTACAACAACATAGAACACTAACAACTAATAGCGATAATAAATAATACTTATATAAAAAAGAATATAAGAAGAGGATACAAAATAAAATTAAATAAAAAACTACAGACTGAATATTAATTAGTAAAGTTAGAAGTAACAGTTTCAACGACAACAACAACATAAAAAGGACAGAAAACAAAATAGAAACAAGAATTTATTCTCTACTTTAGTACACAAAGAGAACAAAATCAACTAATTATTAATTTGTTGTTGTGGTAGTAGAAGTACTTGTAGTAGTTGGTTAATGTTAAAAAATTACACAATTTACCCACCTTACTATAAAGCGTTGTGCTGCCCGACCGCTGATTAAAACCATTGCCCTGGTCCGTATAAGTCTTTACCTGTGTATGACGCTGGTCCCTATCATAATAGTTGCGAGGCATTCCATGGGGTGAATGTTGATTATTGGCCGATGGCATACCACCGGCACCGCCACCACCACCCGTACCACCATTGCCACCGGCACCTGGTTTGCCACGAATACTGCCGGCCGAATTTTGCTGATTGTTAGCATCACGTTCAGTGGTTATCGTGCTAATGGCTTGATTTTCTTTATGTGAACGACGTGCAGCATATTTATCGGGTTTGAGAAGACTGCTCTCGAACAAACAGATGTGAAATAAAAACAAAAATGGACACACATGGTCAGATTGGTTCGGTCAAGCAAGGATAATGGTGCAAGTGATTATGATGATAATGTCCATTGATTGGTTGTTTGTTGATTTTTTTATAATCGGAAGTGTTACCATTTAACACAGCCATTATTGCAGGATCATAAAAAATAACATAGAAAGAGAAAGAGAAAAATAAAACGAGATAAACGATTATTAATTGTTCTGAAATTAAATTCAATTATTGGCGATTACTACCACTTACCTTGGATATTGAGGACCGAACTGAGTGTAGCAGCAATTATGCCAACATCCTCGCGAAAAAGGATTATAGCCACCTTTAAATTTACCCGTCACCTGTTCATTTGTGGTGCGACCTCTCGACACCAGGACCATATGAAAACCGGTTAAACCAAATATGGGTATGGCTAATATTGTTACAATACCCATTAAAACCATACTGGAATAAAAACAAACAAATTGAGAATAGACAAATTAGAAATTCATTAAAAAAATAGATTCAAGATTTTAATAGCCTACATCACTTTGATTTATAAGAATATTTTTAGAGGCCTCACAAGGCGAGGCTTTTTTAATGAATATTTTTCGAGACACCAATAAAGTGGGAATTATTAGAAAGAATATTTTTAGGGGCACAAAAAAGGCATGATTTTATTAAAGAATATTTTGAGGGCCCTAACAAGGCGTGGGTTATTTAAAAGAAGATTTTGAGTGTCCTCACAAGGCGTGAGGCATATCATCAAGGCGTGGATTATTTAAAAGAAGATTTTGAGTGTCCTCACAAGGCGTGAGGAATATTTTTAGGGGCATCAACAAGGCGTGGATTATTTAAAAGAATATTTTTAGGGGCATCAACAAGGCGTGGATTATTTAAAAGAATATTTTGAGTGTCCTCACAAGGCGTGAGGCATATCATCAAGGCGTGGATTATTTAAAAGAAGATTTTTGAGGCCAATCATAAAGGCGTGGGTTATTTAAAAGAAGATTTTTGAGGCCAATCATAAAGGCGTGGGTTATTTAAAAGAAGATTTTGAGTGTCCTCACAAGTCGTGAGGACTATCATCAAGGCGTGGATTATTTAAAAGAAGATTTTGAGTGTCCTCACAAGTCGTGAGGCCTATCATCAAGGCGTGGATTATTTAAAAGAATATTTTTGAGGCCTATCACAAAGGCGTGGATTATTTAAAAGAATATTTTTGAGGCCTATCATAAAGGCGTGGATTATTTAAAAGAATATTTTTGAGGCCTATCATAAAGGCGTGGATTATTTAAAAGAATATTTTTAGGCGCCTAAAGCTGAGGATTATTTAAAATAAAAATTTTGGGGACCATTGAGGCGTGGATTAGTATAAAGAATATTTCTTGGGTCCTCAAGCTACGTAAGATTTAAATACATTTTTACAAGGTTCCTCAAGGTTGAATTTTTTAAAGGAATATTTTTTTAGAGATTATTATAGTGATGTTATGGCTACTTTAAATGTTTAAAAATTTATATTTTAATACTTACGATACTATTGGTGCTGTATGCCTTATATTTGGCATAATTTTTAATACATAAAATAAGCATAAGCAAAATATGCTTAACATGTGTATCGATAATGAAACCAAAAAGAAAAAGAAAAATCTATAATTGCGACGACCAATGCAATTATTCACCCAAGGACAATGATGATCGAATGTCTGTAAATGAGAAAATATATCAACAACATTAAAAACAATTACAAGTCAAGTTATCACGAAATGGAAGGATACACAATTAATTTAACAAAAAACACAAACGGATACACAATATAGGCAAATACAACAGTCGATTTATATATAAATGAAGGGAGATATGCAAATTTTGAGTCCTTTAAAACAATTTAAAAATGAAATTTATAATGGAATTCAATACAGAATTCCTTTGTATTTTTTATTAATTTAATTAATGTGAAAATATTAATTACGGACTTGATTGTCTTGCCTCATCCTTTTGTATTTCTTTTACCTACCTCTATACAATGATTGCACACCGAACAATGTGAGCACCTTGGTGGTCGATAAAATTTACAGGTGACACACCATTTCATTTTCACCGTAATGCCATTGATTTCGGCATTTTTATATAGAGGCGCTCGAAATTCCTCTTCTCGATCTTCATCAGGGGATGCTGTAAGGAGAATAGAGGGCAGAATATTAAAATAAGTTTCTTTAATTAAAAAAATTAAATAAATGCTTACCTTTTGGTATTACACCTGGATCCATAAATGTTGCCAATGTGAAATTGGCCAACACAAAAAACGTTATAACTCCCTGATACGCCGGTACCCATGGATGACTTTTTAAATAATATTGGCAGCTACAAAAGAGAAGAAAAAAATTAGATTAATTATTAAAAAATATGATTTATTTATTTTTTTATATAAAAATAATTTTTTCAAAGGCCAACAAGGCATGGATTTTTTAAATAACATTTTTTCGAACACAAACAAGGCGTCGATTTGTTAAATAACATTTTTTAAAACACCAATAAGGCGAGGATTTTTTAAAAATCATTTTTCAAACATCAACACGGCCTTTTTAGGCCTCAAGAATATTCATTAAATAATTTCACGTCTAAAAATAATCTATACATAAATCCTCGCCTTTTTAGGCCCATAAAAATATTTTGTTTTAATAAGTCCACTTCTTGCTAATTATACGAAAAATTTTGTAAATTTCAAATTTATTCACTCTCTCCACATGATTAATGTGAAAAAATCCCAAAGTAATTAGGAAATATGGTAATAAATTATATTTAATATTTACTACACAAATTAGACCTGCAAAACACAATGTGCGTGAAGATAAATTCGTTTTTAACTAGCAAAGACACAAACCAGTATGTGTGGTTGTGTTCAGTATAACAGTTTTGTAATACGGTATAACAGAATTCACGGAAAATAAATTCTGATTTATTACGAAATTATATATATTTAAATTATATTCAGAATATATTTTCATTTTGTGAATATGAGTTATGATGTATTATGATAAAAAAATTTGTAAAAAACAAATAATATTGTCTAAAATAAAGAGAAAAAAACAATATATGTTTTAACCCACTGTGCGGGATCTATAAAAGATACGCCTGATCTGAAGGTACCGTATGAAAGCTTGTCTCCTCTATTTTTAGAAAATATTTTTTTCAGAATTTTCTGACACAGAAATTTTGAGAAAAAATTTTTTGAAAAAAAAAATATAATTTTAAGGGGCATTATATTCAGAGAACCACTGTGCGGGATCTATAAAAGATACGCGTTATCCGAAGGTACCTTATGAAAGCTGGTCTCCTCTACTTTTAGAAAATGTTTTTTTTCAGAATTTTCTGACACAGAAATTTTGAGAAAAAAAATTTTGAAAAAAATATATAATTTTAAGGGGCATTATATTCAGAGAACCACTGTGCGGGAACTATGAAAGATACGCCTTATCCGAAGGTACCTTATGAAAGCTGGTCTCCTCTACTTTTAGAAAATATTTTTTTCAGAATTTTCTGACACAGAAATTTTGAGAAAAAATTTTTTGAAAAAAATATATAATTTTAAGGGGCATTATATTCAGAGAACCACTGTGCGGGAACTATGAAAGATACGCCTTATCCGAAGGTACCTTATGAAAGCTGGTCTCCTCTACTTTTAGAAAATATTTTTTTCAGAATTTTTTGACACAGAAATTTTGAGAAAAAAAAATTTAAAAAAAATATATAATTTTAAGGGGCATTATATTCAGAGAACCACTGTGCGGGAACTATGAAAGATACGCCTTATCCGAAGGTACCTTATGAAAGCTGGTCTCCTCTACTTTAAGAAAATATTTTTTTCAGAATTTTTTGACACAGAAATTTTGAGAAAAAAAAATTTGAAAAAAATATATAATTTTAAGGGGCATTATATTCAGAGAACCACTGTGCGGGAACTATGAAAGATACGCCTTATCCGAAGGTACCTTATGAAAGCTGGTCTCCTCTACTTTTAGAAAATATTTTTTTCAGAATTTTCTGACACAGAAATTTTAAATTTTTTTAAACGTATCGTTAAGGGCTACAAAACGAATTTAACTAGCAAAGACACACAGCAGTATGTGGCTTGTGCTAAGTATGTACTGTATGCAGTATAACAAAGTCAGAGGAGAAAATGAATTCGGTATTTTTTTTTGAAATAATATATTTATTTTATATTCATAATATATTTTCATTTTGCTATTAGAAAATATTTTATTTATAAATTTCTGAAACAGAAAATTTTAGAAAAAAAGTTAATATATATATATATATAATTTTGAAGGACATTATATTCACAGAACCACTGTTCGGGAAGTATAAAAGATACGCCTTATCCGAAGGTACCTTATGAAAGCTGGTCTCCTCTACTTTTAGAAAATATTTTTTTCAGAATTTTCTGACACAGAAATTTTGAGAAAAAATTTTTTGAAAAAAAATATAATTTTAAGGGGCATTATATTCAGAGAACCACTGTGCGGGATCTATAAAAGATACGCGTTATCCGAAGGTACCTTATGAAAGCTGGTCTCCTCTACTTTTAGAAAATGTTTTTTTCAGAATTTTCTGACACAGAAATTTTGAGAAAAAAAATTTTGAAAAAAATATATAATTTTAAGGGACATTACATTTAGAGAACCACTGTGCGGGAACTATGAAAGATACGCCTTATCCGAAGGTACCTTATGAAAGCTGGTCTCCTCTACTTTTAGAAAATATTTTTTTCAGAATTTTCTGACACAGAAATTTTGAGAAAAAATTTTTTAAAAAAAATATATAATTTTAAGGGACATTATATTTAGAGAACCACTGTGCGGGATCTATAAAAGATACGCCTGTTTTGAAGGTACCTTATGAAAGCTGGTCTCCTCTACTTTTAGAAAATATTTTTTTCAGAATTTTCTGACACAGAAATTTTGAGAAAAAATTTTTTGAAAAAAATATATAATTTTAAGGGGCATTATATTCAGAGAACCACTGTGCGGGATCTATAAAAGATACGCCTGATCTGAAGGTACCGTATGAAAGCTTGTCTCCTCTACTTTTAGAAAACATTTTTTTCAGAATTTTCTGAAACAGAAATTTTGAGATTTTTTTTTTATATATATATTTTTAAGGGCTAAAATCGAATTTAACTCAGTGGGTACAGTACAACGGAAATTAAATTCGGTTTTTATAAAATTATATATTAAAATTCATAATATATTTTTATTTTTCGAATACGAGTTGAAATATAAATTATAATATAATATACAATTATATATGTATAGAAGTATAATGAAAAATGTTTCAAATAATAATTTATTTTAAAAATATGTTTTAAGGACAATATATGCGGAGAACTAAATACCTACGTCTTTCCGATAATAATTTATTTTAAATTGAAAAAAATATATTTTGATAATTTATATTATAAAAAAAATTGAAACTGCAGACACTCCGACCGGGTTTGAACTCAGAGCCGAAGTCTTAGAACAATGCGTGTATACCTCTGTGCTATAGCCAATATTGTAAAAGATGTTATGTTTGGTAGGTTTTATTTTTCTGTTAGTGTCTCAATTTCTACGTTTTAGACATTTTTGTTGAAGAAGTGTTTAGAAAATTTGGAACATGGAAGGAACATCGCAAATTACAAAACACGTAAGACATATAAGCATATGAACCCGTTGTAAATTACACAGAAAACATTTGAATGTGTTTTATTATGTCATTATTATTTATGACCTTTGCAAGGTTTTTGTGTACATCTAATACACAATTTATCTATTAAAGTCATATACAGTAGATATCGGATATAAGCACTTCTCATATAAGAAAAAATCGCATATAAGAAAGATTATCAAAAACACCGTGCTTATATCCGATAATTCCATATAAGAACACCGAGCTTATATCCGATAATTCCATATAAGAAAAAAACGCATATAAGAAAGAAATCTCCGGCTTTTTTTGAGTTTTTTATATCCGATATCTACTGTACAATGGAAACATAAATGATCCACTCTTTTTCCCTAGAACTACAGATTTCCCGAATTGCATTCTTAGATGTCACATGTTTTCTAATGATCTATTTATAGTTCTTTATACTTGTGCGTGTGCGTGTGTGCATTCAACATACAAAATATGCGCACACTGAGAGTCCGCGTTAAGGGTTGTTTATTACCATGTGCAAAAATGTAACGTTCGCTATTTGTTGTTGTTGCATAGAAACGAAAAGCTTAATGATCTCATCGTAACGAGAACAAAACAAGCATCGTATTTGTGCGGACGGAGTATGTGCAGTAGCTCAGTGGGTAAGCGGGTAGATGCAGTGTGAAATATGCTTTTGATCATAGCATAGGGACGTCGGTTCAAATCCCACCACAGGAAAAATTTTAATTTATTATTTTTTAATTTTAAATTAATTAAATAACATTAAATTATATATATTTAGTTATTATAATTATAATTATCCGTTATTTGGATTTTTCTTTGGAAATACACGCTTTTTGTAAAAAAATATTCGATTACAAACCTCCAAGTTTTGTGGTTATTCAGAAAATTTTTAAAATAACGAAAACATTTGGTATTTAACAATTTTTACAATTCAATAAGAACTCTTGAGCGTAGGGGAGAGGGGGACACCTTTGAACATTTTTTTTTCTTTCAAGCCTTATAAAATTTTTTATAAAATTTTTTTTCTTTCAAGCCTAAAAAATTTTATAAAAAATTTTATAAGGCTTGAAAGAAAAAAAAATGTTCAAAGGTGTCCCCCTCTCCCCTACGCTCAAGAGTTCTTATTGAATTGTAAAAATTGTTAAATACCAAATGTTTTCGTTATTTTAAAAATTTTCTGAATAACCACAAAACTTGGAGGTTTGTAATCGAATGTTTTTTTACAAAAAGCGTGTATTTCCAAAGAAAAATCCAAATAACGGATAATTATAATTATAATAACTAAATATATATAATTTAATGTTATTTAATTAATTTAAAATTAAAAAATAATAAATTAAAATTTTTCCTGTGGTGGGATTTGAACCGACGTCCCTATGCTATGATCAAAAGCATATTTCACACTGCATCTACCCGCTTACCCACTGAGCTACTGCACATACTCCGTCCGCACAAATACGATGCTTGTTTTGTTCTCGTTACGATGAGATCATTAAGCTTTTCGTTTCTATGCAACAACAACAAATAGCGAACGTTACATTTTTGCACATGGTAATAAACAACCCTTAACGCGGACTCTCAGTGTGCGCATATTTTGTATGTTGAATGCACACACGCACACGCACAAGTATAAAGAACTATAAATAGATCATTAGAAAACATGTGACA